TCTCTCCTGCCAGTCAAGCCCTTCTCGGCGGCTCCTCCAATGCCCCAAAGTTTGGCACCCTCATTCCAAACCGGATTTTTGTTGGAGGAATACCCTCAAACGTAAGAATGCAATTGCCTCTTACACCCCTCTCTATAGACTACGGAGCAAGAATTGAAGACTTATTTCTCCAGTTTCGGTCAGGTGAAGGACGTAAAAATCATAAATGATAGACTTGGAGTAGCGAAGGGGTAGGTTGGATCTGCGTCAAATCTAACTGCTTTGCAGGAGTTATGGTTTTGTTACCTTCGAAAGTCAGGAGATGGCGGAAAAAATTATAAAAAATGAGGTAAATCTATATCTATTATCCCTTATCATCTATTATAGTCCGAGACTTTGATCTTTAAAGATCGCAAACTCAACATTGGACACGCTATCCGTAAACAGGTAAGAAGTGTGGGCAGTGTCTTTGTAACTTTGCATGCACTCTTCGTTCCGTATGCAGCATCTCGTTCTTTATTGTTTTGGTTTGCAGCAACTGTTTCCCCGACCAGGTATGTTTGGGAATTTGACATGGCACTAGCGACCTGGCCTGTTCTGCTTTTCACAACGCTTGCCAGCCTTGTTAACCCCTCTTACCCCTAACAGTTTGCTTCCTTCACCAGTACATTTCTTCCTTACAGCTGATGTCCCAACTGCTCTGTTCTTCACTGGAGGCGCTATTCCGTGCGGCTTCCAGAACGGCATGACTGTTTTCCCCTTAGCTGGCCAAGACTACTCGCTTCTTGCTCAGGTACGTTCCAGTAGGCAGTCCCATTTTGCTCTAAAGTTAACGATGTTTTCGATTTCAGTGGTAATCACCTGTTTCTTTCATCAACAGCCCGGTTCACCATACCAGTCGATGTTGCTCCAGCAGGCAAACGGAGCAGTCTATCTTTCGCCTCAGGCGGGTCCCACAGCTGCCCAATATTCAGCGCTCCATTCTCAGTTGACTCACCAGGGTACCTTTGCGGCTTTACAACAGCAACAATATCAACAGGCTTCTCTACAAAGTACGTTTGTATTCCTTTTTGGAGTGTGGCTCAGACCGTGTTTATTTAGATCGCTGGTAACAACGGTAGTTTACCAGGAAGCAGCATAGACCATAGTCATGTCTCTCTCCTATCTTTTGCTGAAATTTAGACTCTGTCGTAGTAGGGCTAATCTAACACTACTGCAATTACTCACTGCACGACTGAACTGCTACATATTGAACTTCGATAAGGAATGAGTTACGAACTAAATGAATGCCACATTGTCATTTAAGGTCTGCTTGAAGCCTTTGTCGATAGTATGTAGCCGATAATGAAATTAACTTCGGTCAAACATATTCAGCTTATGATCTGAGCTCTTGCACTTCAGCACATCTCGAAGTCATAGAACAGGTAGAACGGGCTCTCACTGATGCAGTTTTTACCATCCTTCCTTGCCACGGCGATATCGTACTCGCTTCGGGAGCGGACGGAATCGTTGGTAGACGGATTTTACTTTCACTTAATTTGCATGCACAATTTGTAGGTGCACCGCAAATGAATGCAGTAAGTAACCAGGTATCTTGTTCCATGCCTCCGACAGGTGATGCGATCAAGCATCAAGGGTAAAAGTTAGGCATTCAGTCAGAGGGTGTCATACACTTATTTTCCAACGACAGTAGTCCATTGCTTGATTTAGTGGGGTTAGTATGTCAAAAGGGTACCTAGGTGGTCAGGGAAAAATGGAAAGAGACTGTCGATGACTTATTTTTACTTGTTGCGGCAGCGATCATAAATGATCTAGCTGGTGCTTCTCCACGTGCGACCATCCGTGACCGTATATCTGGACAGTTCAAGCCATTCTTTTTGCCAGCGCCGGAGACTGACTACCGATGGTCCAAGAACCACTTTCGTGTCCTGACGGACTGAGTCAAGCCAG